AACTAGATAGCAAGGAATACAAGCTTAAAACTCTCCCTCGCCTCTTGAGTGTGGGCAGAACACAGTCTGATTCCAGAGCAGCAGGGCCCTCCCCCGCGCTCTCCCAACTGGGACTGAGCAAAGGGGTCAGTAAGAACCATCGCTCCAAAGTGAGCCAGATACATGTCAGCAAAGCTGGGGAATCAGTGCCCTAAATCCATGGGGATCAAGACTATTTTTGTGGAGATGTAGCAGATTATACCATAAAAAAAATCCCAGGTGGTCAAAAAGTACAAGCTTCCAGTTGTAAGATAAATCCTGGGGATGTAATGTAAAGCCTGGTGATGATAGTTAACAATACTCTATTGTATATTTGAAAGCTGCCAAGAGAATTGATCTTAAAAGTTCTCATCACAAGAAAACCAAATGTAACTATGTGTGGTGATAGGTATTAACTTAACTTATTATAATAATCAGTTTGGAATATATACACACATTAAATATTATGTTGTGTGCCCAAAAGTAATACAATGTTATATATCAATTATATTGCAATTTTTTTAAATCTCAAAATTTTAAAAAAAAGGGTCACCACAGAGAAGCCCTTACCCCTGCGCTGGGGACTCAGGGAAGCGGCCCTCGCCCCCGACTCCCAACCGTCTGTCTGCAGCTGATGCAACCTTGGGCTAATTAACTAACCTATTTGAGTCCCTGTTCTTTATTCTCTCCAATTATAAAAGCAATAAATGCACATTATAGAAAAATTGAAAAACGCAGAAAAACAGAAGGAAAGAGCACCTCTAACCTCATTATCTAAGTACCAACATTGTTAACACTCTTGCCAGTCTTCTTTCTCTAAGTTTCCCTCTTTCAGATGTGTAAGAATGGCCTACCTTCTTCCCCTTCCCCCCAAAAAGAATTTGGGTAACCTTTGGCAGTTTCTACTGCTGTTGCCTAGAAAGCAGATCGAAAGGGTGGAGAAATAGTAGCTGACCTCAAGGGTGGTGAGAGAAGCTGGGTGTTGTCCAGACACCAAGGCTCTTGGGAGGGCTGCTCTCTCTGGATCGAGAGGGAACCCCAGAGAAGGATCTAGACAGGCATCCCCCCCCGTGATGGACGCTCTCCACCCTAAGAGCATCCTGTTCACTGGTTGCTACCTCAACTCAGATGGCCAGGAAGTGGAATGAAAACAGGGAAGGAGAAATCTGTTGTGGGAGAGATTGTCAGCAGTAAGCAGACACGGGCTGGCAGGTCAATCTTCAAACCACAGCCCTCCTAGATTAATAGAAAAGATGGCCATTTTTGAAGCCAGCATCTTTCCAGGACCAGAGGTGGGTCCTTCCCTGAGGCTGGTGGGGGATGAGTTGGGAGACAGGAGAAAGGCGCTGCAGGTCAGTCTCCAACTGACCCCACAGGCCGATGGCATCTGGGAAATACCTGCGACATTAAGAGTGGATCAGAGTGTATATAATGATTATCCTGTTTCTTCATGCAACCTCATATCATAAATGATTTTCCACCTCGTTATTAATCCTCATAAACTTTATCATTTTCCATTCCGTGGATATACCGCAAGCCATTTGACAATGCAATGAACACCTTAGTAATTAAAGATTTTCCACATTTAGAATTATTTCCTTAGGCTATAATCGCAGGGGGAAAAATTAGATGAAAAGTATTGTACTTTTTTGAGCCACTCAATATACTGATTTCCAAATGACCCCAATTTGCAATTCACAGTTTTGGCTGAAAACTCAGTACAAAGGAGAAAATATGTATATAAGATGTCTGCCCTCCCTCGGCTATGCAGCGTCCAAAGCTGCTTGCCGCCCAGGCTGTTGGCACGTGGTCATCCTGGCTACAGTTTCTGCACCCACATCCCTTTGTTCATGTTAATTTTCCAAGCCTAGTTCTTTCCTGAGTCCAAGCTTGACTTCTCAGTCAATTCCAAGTGTTACTCAGCGGCCTTCCAAGAAATACTTTTTCTGCTCAGGTTAGCCGGTGTCTAGTCCTGATGCTTCCAAGCAAGAGCCCTGACTAATAAACCACCTCGAGCAGACCTGTGCCGCTGCCTACCCTGTGAGCCCTCGGGACAAAATGGACTTGCTCAGGGAGACAAATACAACCCCAGGGTAGTTGTGGAAGGTAGATGGAGACCAGTAGATGTGACCCATCACCTCCCCCGACCTCTACTCCTCCGAGAGGGACTCCAGGATGACCACTGCCCCACTGGCAGCCAGGAATTTGTCTTGCTAAGTGGCCCCCACCAGCAGGGACCTCAAGGAGGCTACGGAAGTGAGAGAATAAAATAGAGAAGAGACCTGGCCGAAGGGAGGGTCCAGCCGAGAGGGTGCAGGAGAGAGATGCTGGATCTGGAAATCAATTACGTTATGCTGAGTGGAGAGTTCAGGTAACCGCCCAAACCATCCTCCCCTTAAAGTCCTCTCTAAGAAGTTTCTACCTCTGAGGGTCCTCTTTGCGACTAGCACCTTGAAACTGAGGCTTTACTGTTATTTGTGCTTAGACAGGTCATCAACCAGCTCCTCCACCTCCCAGGCCTGGCCTTGCGGCCTCCACGCTCTCAGGATATAAAACCACATTCAGTCATCTTTTCAAGCCAGAAGCCCATCTGCTCCTCAGGGGCCATAGTGCACCTTCACAAAGGCCGAAACAGCTGGGGAGCTGCTCCTGCGGATGCAGGCCATGGGGACAGAGGGGCTGGCATCCTCTCTGTAACTAACGGGGAGACAGGAAGGGCAGGTCCTGCTGGCCCACACAGTGCTGGCTGTCACCCCCGCAGGGTTAGCTTGATTTCTTTCAATTAGCTGCCAATTTTTTTTAAGTTCTCTCTCATTTTTAATTAAAATATAGTTGATTTATTGCTGTTGTTTAGTCTCTAAATCATGTCCAACTCTTTGGCGACCCCACGGACTGTAGCCTGCCAGGCTATTCTGTCCATCGGATTTCCCAGGCAAGAATATTGGAGGGTGTTGCCATTTCTTTCTCCGGGGAGTCTTTCCAACCCTGGTGGCCCAGCAGTAAGGATCTGCCTGCCCAGCAGGAGGCATGGGTTCAATCCCTGGTCAGGAAGGGATCAATATGCATATACTATATACATAAATATATTTTTTTTTAAACTTTTAATTTTGTATTGTGTCATAGCTGATTAACAATACTGTCATAGTTTCAGGTGAACAGAGAAGGAACTCAGCCATGTGTATACATGTATCCATTCTCCCCCAGACCCCCCTCCCAACCAGGCTGCTACATAACATTGAGCAGAGTGCCTATATGGTAGGAACTTGTTGGTTATCCACTTTAAATACAGCAGTGTATACATGTCCATTCCAAACTCCCTAACTACCCTTCCCCTTATTCTTCCTCCTACCCCACAACAGGAAGATGGTTCTCTAAGTCTGAGTCTCTTTCTGTTTTGTAAATAATTTCACTTATATATTTCTTTTTAAATCCTGCATATAAGGGATGTCATATATTTTTCTTTCTCTGACTTACTTCATTCAGTGTGACATTCTCTGGGTCCATCCATGTGGCCACAAATGGGCTTATCTCATTCTTTTTAATGGCTGAGTGATATTCCATTGTATATACGTACAACATTTTCTTTATTCATTCCTCTGTCAATGGACATTTAGGTTGCTTCCATGTCTTGGCTATTGTAAACAGTGCTTCAGTGAATATTGGGGTGCATATATTCTTTCAGATAATGTTTTTCTCCAGATATATGCATAGCAGTGGCATTGCAGGGTCATATGGTAGTTCTATTTTTAGTTTTTTAAGGAACCTCCATACTGTTCTCCATAGTGGCTACACCAATTTACATTCCCACCAACAGTGTAGGAGGGTTCCCTTCTCTCCACACTCTCTTCAGCATTTATTGTTTGTGAATATTTTGATGATAGTCATTCTGGCTGATGGGAGGTGATATTTCATTGTAGTTTTTATTTCTTTATACATTTATATACATATTTATACACACATACATTCTTTTTCATATTATTTTCACAAGATACTGAGTATGGTTTCCTGTGTTGTATGGTTAAGACCTTACCATTTACTCATTCTACATATAATAGTTTGCATCTGATAATCCTAAACTCCCAATCTTTCCCTCCACCACCCCACCCTGCCCTTGTAATTGCCAATATTTACATTTTAGCTGCTGCTCTCAAGAATCAGGAGACCTGGAAGCTCTGGGCCCACGTGTCTGCAGCAGCATAGGCCACCCAGAGACAGAGTGCACTGTAGCTGCCCGCAGACCCGTCCTGTCCTGTCTTTTCCAGGACAGAGCGCCTGGGCCGTCCCCCACTACCCTGCGTGGGGGCTGGTTTAAATGGAAGGCAGATCCAGTGGAGGCACTGAGCAAGGTCAGCCTCTTTCTGTTCTCACTTCCGTGATCCACTTTTTTCACTTACCCATCATCACGAAAGCAGTGAGTAACAAAGGAAAAGCAATAGAACAGCAATCGGCTATATTCCGATGGGAAATCTAACCATGACCAGAGGCTGAAGCACTGGGACGCCAAACCTTGTTCGAACATCTTACCTAACTGTGACAAAGACAGGCTCCCATAGCAACTGGAGCTCTGAGCTGGGTGGTGAGTTTTCTCTGCCTGATGCTAACTACTGTGTTCAGAAATCAGGGGAAAAAAAGATAGAGACAGTTGAGCAAAGGTCCACAAGAAGAAAAACTACTTTTTCATGGCCTCTCTTCTGTGGTCAACTTCCCACTGATAGATTGGACAGCTGCTTCCGAATCATGACTTCTGAATCTGGGAGCAGAAAGAGCTCTCTGACCCCCAAACACGAATCACTTTCTCTTCCTCCTTCGTGTTTTGCAACAGCCCTCCCTACACTGTCTTGTGTAGCCCCCACACTGTAAGCAATCACTCAGTCGATGAGCCCTTAATTGAGCATCTGCAACGTGAACAGAACAGATATGGTCCCTTTTGCAAGCAAATCACAACAGCTGTGATGGCGGCTCTGAGGGGAAAATGCTGATGGCTATGAGTGAGCCTCATTCGCAATGAAAGAGGCTGAAGTTCTCTGTGAGGAAGGACAGGAAGAAGCTGGCTGTGAGCTCTCCCAGAAGCAGAGCAAGTAGAAAGGTACCAAGGTGCACAAAACGTGGGCTGCCAGGAAGCCCAGTAAACACGGGGGGACAGTGGCCAAGCTGAAACCGGACAGCATGGCAGGCTGGTTTGTAGGGGGCTCTAGAGCCTCAGCAATTATTTTAAGTGTGATGGAAATGCAGTTCAGGATTTCTAACAGAGTTGCTGTATGAAGAAAGATTAGAAAAGAGATCATGACAGGGTGATTTAAGTAGTGTCAGGCAAGGTGGAGAAAAGGAAATGATTTGAGATAATTTTTTATGTAGACTTGACAAGCCTCTGTGATGGGGACAGGAAGCCAGGGAAGAGCATTCAAGCTGACTCCTAGAAATTAATTTTTCTAAGGTGTAAAAAGGCTCTTAAATATATGAAAAGATGCTCAACCAGGCTCACAATAAAGGAAATGTAAATAAAACCACAAGGAGATTCTTTCCGTGTCTGGGCAATTGTAAATAATGCCTCTATAAACAAAGGGGTGCATGTATCCTTTTGAATTAGAATTTGTCCAGGTATATTCCCAGAAGTATTGATGCTTTTGAACTGTGGTGTTGGAGAAGACTCTTGAGAGTCCCTTGGACTGCAAGGAGATCCAACCAGTCCATCCTAAAGGAGATCAGTCCTGGGTGTTCATTGGAGGGACTGAGGTTGAAGCTGAAACTCCAGTATTTTGACCACCTGATGCAAAGAGCTGACTCATTTGAAAAGACCCTGACACTGGGAAAGACTGAGGCGGGAGGAGAAGGGGACGACAGAGGATGAGATGGCTGGATGGCATCACCTACTCGATGGGCATGAGTCTGAGCAAGCTCTGGGAGCTGGTGATGGACAGGGAGGCCTGGCGTGCTACAGTCCAGGGGTTGGCAAAGACTCAGACATGACTGAGTGACTGAACTGAACTGAACTGGTTCCCAGGAGTGAAACTGCTGGGTCATATGGGAATTCTAGTTGAGGAAACTCCATACTGTTTTCTATAGCAGCTGCACCAATTTACATTCCCACCAATAGTGTACAAGGGTTCCCTTTTCTCCACATCCTTGCCAACATTTATTATTTGTAGACTTATTGAACTTAAGGGCCCATCAAAGGATGAATGGATAAAGAGGATGGGGTACATATATACGATGGAACATTGCTGCTGCTGCTGCTGCTGCTGCGTCACTTCAGCCGTGTCCGACCCTGTGCGACCCCATAGACGGCAGCCCACCAGGCTCCCCCCTCCCTGGGAGTCTCCAGGCAGGAACACTGGAGTGGGTTGCCATTTCCTTCTCCAATGCATGAAAGTGAAAAGTGAAAGTGAAGTCGCTCAGTCGTGTCCAACTTGTAGTGACCTGATGGAACACTACTCAGCCATAAAAAGAACAAAATGCTGCCATTTGCAGCAACATGGATGGACTTGGAGGGTATTATGCTGAGTGCAGTAAGTCAGAGAGAGAAAGGTAAATATTGTATGATATCACTTATACATGGAATCCAAAAAGTACAACAAACTAGTGAGTATAACAAAAAAGAAGCAGACTCACAGAGAGAACAAACTAGTGGTCCCAACTGGGAGAGAGGAGAGACAGTTCGGGGTAGGGGAGTAGGAGGCACAAAGTGTTGGGTGTGAGATAGGCCCGAGTATGTACTGTACAGCACTGGGAACACAGCCAATATTTTGTAGTCACTGTAGATGAAAAGTAACCTCTAACACTGCATAAAATTTCATAATTTTTATTAATTTTTATGGGACTATAGTTGTTTTACAACATTGTGTTAGTTTCTGCTATACATCTAAATGGGTCAGTTACACATACACGCACGTCCCCTCTTTTTCAGATTTCCTGCCCATTGAGGTCAGCACAGAGGGGTGAGCAGAGTTCCCAGCACTGTACTGCAGGTTCTCACCGCTGCTGCTGCTGCTGCCAAGTCGCTTTGGTCGTATCCAACTCTGTGTGACCCCACAGACCGCAGCCCACCAGGCTCCGCCGTCCCTGGGATTCTCCAGGCAAGAACACTGGAGTGGGCTGCCGTTTCCTCCTCCAGTGCATGAAAGTGAAAAGTGAAAGTGAAGTCGCTCAGTTGTCACTGACTCTTAGCGACTCCATGGACTGCAGCCTACCAGGCTCCTCTGTCCAGGGGGTTTTCCAGGCGAGAGGACTGGAGTGGGGTGCCATCGCCTTCTCCGAGGTTCTCATTAGTTATCTAGTTTATACATAGTAGTGTATATAAGTCGATCTCAATCTCCTAATCATCCCATCCTCTCTCCCTGACTTGGTATCCATAAGTTTGTTCTCTACATCTGTGTCTTTATTTCTGCTTTTCAAATAAGTTCATCTCTACCCTTTTGCTAGGTTCTGCATATAAGCAATATCATACCACACGTGTTTTTCTCTTTCTGACTCACATCACTCTGTACGACAATCTCAGGGTCCGTCTGTGTCTCTGCAGACGGCACTGTTTTGTTCCTTGTTGTGGCTGAGTGATATTCCATCATATGTAGGCATCACATCTTACTCACGTAATCTTCTGTTAATGGGCATTTAGGTTGCTTCCATGTCCTGGCTATTATAAAGGGTGCTGCAAGGTAGGCTGGGTGAAAGATAGGCTCAAGAATGTCTTGTAAAATGTGGGGAATATAGTCAACATTTTGTAGTAACTATAAATGGAAAGTGACCTTTAAACAATGTATTAAAAGTTTTTCTTTTAATGTTAAACCCACAGGGAAATACCATTTATCACATACCAAATAAATGAAAATCTATAAACTTAACGAAACACACTGATGATAAGGTTACTGAGGAACAAAACTTCTCTTCCATGGCTAATTGTGGAACAATCCCCACAGAGGGGAATTTGGCAAAATTACATATGCATTTCTCTTTTGTACCAGATACTCCACTTCTATCTCAAAGAAATGTCAACAAAAATGAAGGAGAAAAAAAGATCATTGCACAAAGCTATAATCATAGTACTATTGTAATAGCAAAAGACTAAAAAATCCAAATATCCATCAACAGGAAATAAGTTGGATCAACTATGAAACATTGAAGTACTCTGCAGCTGAAAAAGAAATAAGAACTATCTCTAATACTGATTCGGGGTCACCTTAAGGATACAACTAAGCGGGGAGGGAGAAAAGATCAAAGTACAAAAGAGGTGAATAGTATGTATATTTTGCAGAAGACTAAGTGGGAGACTTATTCATTTGCATTTGCTTATATTTTCAAAAAGAAACATGGGCACACAAGCAAACAAAGAAAAACAAATGTGCTGGACATCATCCAAATGACAAATATTGTATAGCAATGCATGTATGTGGAACCTGAAAAAACTGGTATAGAAAACTTATTTACAAAGCAGAAATAGACATGGAGAACAAACCTGTGGATACCAAAGAGAAAAGGGGTGGTATGGGAGGAGCTGGGAGATGGGGACTGGCACATATGCATTACTGATACTACATATAAAATAGACAACTAATGAGGAGCTGCTCATAGCACAGGGAACACCACTCTGTGGCGACCTCAGTGGGGAAGAAATCCAAAAATAAAAGCATATATATGTTTACATGTAGTTGGTTCATTCTGCCTACAGTAGAAACCAACACAGCATTGTACAGCAACTATACTCCAATTAAAAGAATTTTTTAAAAAGACAGCAGCAGGAACGTGAAGAGACAGACAACAGAATGGGAGATAATTATTAGCAAATCATATATCGGATAAGAGACTTGAATCTAGAATATATGTTTCGTCGTTCGTCGTGTCTGACTCTGCATCCCCATGAACTGTAGCCCACCAGGCTCCTTGGTCCATGGGATTCTCCAGGCAAGAATACTGGAGTGGGTTGCCATTTCCTTTTCCAGGGGGTCTTCCCAACCCAAGGATCAAACCTGCGTCTCCTGCGTCTCTGGAAGGCAGGCAGATTCTTTACCCACTGAGCCGCCTGGAAAGTCCAGAATTTATAAAGAAACTCTTATAATTCAACAATTAAAAGACAAATAGGCAAATTTTTAACTTGACAAAAGACTTGAATAGACATTTTTCCAGGAAGAGACACAAATGGCCGAAAAGATACGGAAACATGCTCAGCATCACTAGTCATCAGGGAAACGCAAATCAAAACTACAGTGAGAAAAAAAAAAAAAAAACTACAGTGAGATGCCAGTTTCTACCCCTGGGATGGCTATCATCAAAAAGTTAGATAGAAGCCAGTAGGAGCCTGAAACGTCCTGTAGCTGCTGAAGATTCTTCAATCACTGTGTCAAGCGACACAGACATTTCTCTATTTTTCATAAGATGAAGATCAGGGATCTAAACTTATCCAAAAAGCTAGAGAGGCACCATTTGTCCCATTGGAATGATGGGTTTTGTAGCAATTGTTACATATGGATTATATAAACTGAAGAGCAAAGGAAATACTAACGTCTGTTCGCCCGATCCACACGCATGCGGCAGTCCCAGGCTTTGTTGTGGGAGCACTGACTTTTGATATGGACTATTCCCTGTATAGAAAATTCTGGGCAAAACTTAAACCTCTGAAGAGGAGATGTTGCCTTGGTCTTGTTGGTGGTGCTTGCTTTAGCTAGACATCTCATATAGGAGTGTATGTCTCTGTTGAAAATAAATTGTTTGGGTCAGACAAGAACATGGTAATTTGAATACTGGCTTCCATTCTTGCAGGCTTGTAGAAGGCAGGCCATTCCCGAGGATGCCATTCCAGAAGAGAGTGGTGATGAGGGTAAAGAAAACCCTGACAAGCGCATCTCATTGTGTTCCTCAGACAAATGAACTGCCTGCAAGGGACAGTTCTCTGACTCTGATGAGGAGGGAGAAGGCGGTTGCAAGAACTCTTCCAGCTTCAAAAAAGCCGAGAGTCAAAACAGAAGATGAGAAGGAGAAAGGCCCAGAAGAGGAAAAGAAGTGGTGGAAGGGGAGAAAACCAAGAGGGAGAAGCAGGAAGCCAAAGGCGCCAAGGAGGGAGGAGGCCGCGGTGGCCTGCACAGCCTGCCAGCCCTGGCTTCTTACCGAGCTCTCCACCTGTATCTCCCAACCCCTAAAACTTGATAGCTTCTACTTTTCTCTGTATTTATATAGAATATATTACATACAATACCACACATCTTGGATCATGTGTGGTTCAGTGGTTCTTGGTTGTGCAGAGAATTAAGCCCCATCTTCACAGCCAGATTTTCAAAACTTTCAGCGTGGGCAACCC